TTAGTTGTTTGTGGGTTTTGAATAGGGGCAATTTGATTGAGATAGAAGATTTCGCTATTGATCTCGAGGACTTTGTGTCTTCTCGTATGAACAGCTCCTTTCGCTCAAGATGACGACTCAATCGGCCAGAAACATCTGAAAAATAACTCATCGGACCGACGATTTGAAGAACACGAGTTTTCTTTCTATTCTAAGTTTTCGTTTCTCCTCTGTTTTTTATAGTAGAAGCTACACAGAATGTTTTAATGGCGGTTAAATCAGAGTTTTGATATAGACAATATTAAGCCATTGTTTTTGATTTCAGGTTTCAATCATCTTTTCTTGAATATTATACAAAAATTTTTGGATTGTTTGAATATCTAACAATGATCTTGAAAATAAGTTGGCAAAAAAAAAATCTATAATGATTTTTGGCTTATTCGATCTTCTTCTTCCATAAATCTTCAACAGTTTTAAGTTCAAATACCAAACAAAAAACGTTTTCATCAAAAACCAAAAGCATTCAAGGACAAGTTGTCGATTACACAATAAAAACCAGAAACAACATCACGAAACATATGTATCAATTTTCGGATTTTTTTTTATTACGGAAATGGCAGCAACAATGAGGTCACACCTCTCCTTGCATAACTCCATCTCCATATCAAACAAAGCCTTACTTAAATCATTCAACTTTTGGGCRTTTTCATCTCCAATAATTAGCTTGTCRCTCTCCAAAAAGAGCTTTCAYGTAACAAATTTTCAGCAAGAATGGTGACCAGACGATTCTTCAAATGAGGATACTTAACCCAAAACTCTTCTTCATTAACAATTTCTGTAACAGCAACACAAATTAACACAGAGATATCAGAGAGGATTACAAAAACTATCTTTAATTGCTTTTATTGACACATCAGAATGTTAATATAACCCTTCTTTCTCCGATTATAACAAACTTAAAACCTCTCAAAATTGAACAAAACAGATGATTCCTTAACGATCGATCTACCTTCGTACGAGTAAGGAAA